TCTCTCTCTCTCTCTCTCTCTCTCTCTCTCTCTCTCCTCTCTCTCTCTCTCTCTCTCTCTCTCTCTCTCTCTCTCTCTCTGCTCTCTCTCTCTCTCTCTCTCTCTCTCTTCTCTCTCTCTCTCTGCTCTCTCTCTCTCTCTCTTCTTCTCTCTCTCTCTCTCTCCTGCTCTCTCTCTCTCTCTCTCTCTCTGCTCTCTCTCTGCTCTCTCTCTCTCTCTCATTCTCTCATTTTAATGACTGAAAATATTTCAGGCCACAAAAGACAGACCCCAAAGCCTGCAATGAAGAAGTTAGTGTTGACGAATCCAAACAAACTGCTCAGCCTCTCAACAATAATGATGGGGTAAGAATTATTGCACCTAATTCCTTTACCAGCCATTTAAACATCCCTAAAAATAAATGCAGTTTATAAATATATGTGAGAACCAAAATAATGAAATGGAATAAATTCATAATTATAATTCCAGGAGCACAAAACCAGTTGGGCGAAAATGGCATTAGCCTCGAAAGATTACATGGAGAGATTGGCAGCTGAACTCAAGGAAAAGGAAGAGCAGGAAAAGATAAAAAAGATGAGGCTAAACACTAGACCACAAACTAAACCTCAAGGTTTGTATTTATGTATTGTTAGTTGTCAGTTTGCATTATAGTGTATAAACGGTAATGACCTAATATGAAAGTTGAAATAGCCCCTTAACCTCTGCAAACTCCCAACAGAGAAGGTTTTAGTGCCCCGAGAGCGTGATGGCAAGCCTTTGAGGAGGGATGGGCCACCTCGAGAAAACCGCCTCTCAGGTGAAATGGGTTCTGCAAAGTTTAGGCCAAGAGATTCTGCAAGACCAAAGTCACCGAAATGAAGGTGACTGTGAGAGATCCACCGAGACAGAGGCCGCCCACCAGGCTGGGTAACCATAGCCAGAGGAACAAAAGGGATGAGGAGATAACTCTTCAAGTATGCTGCTTCCCTCACACATACCAACATGGAAGTCAGCAATTTCTGCTGTTGGTGTCCTTTGGCAAGTGGTGTAAAAAGGGTAGCTATATACAGTGTAACTTCCCCCAGCCTGGTGACCCTGCACCCCACACTGTTGCCCAGCATTGTGTTGCTGCATCAAAAGTGGCTGCATCATCCTTCTCCAGTGCCTAAGCTGTCTGCCATTTAATGTACATAATTATGACATAACCGTGCTGTTTGCTCCCGTATGCAATTTGCCCGTCTGGAGAGCGTGTGACCGGTGCCAAACGTGGGGCAATCCTGCTTACTTGTACAGTTGAGAGTTTATTTTTGACTATGATAGCCTTGTACATTATTGAAAATTTGGAAAAGCTACATCTGAAACTATGTAGCTGCTTCTTTTGAGTGTGTATATGTGAGTGCTTGTCTCGTGGCTGAATCAAAATAAAGGACAGCCCTCTCATTGCATATTGCTTAGAGGACAAATATTTAAATTAACTTAAGACATTGGTTCCTCATAGATTGAAAATGAGGCTGTAATTACTACAGAACATTATGGCCACAACTATTTGTTTGTGGCAGTGTTGTCGTAAACAAACCTAAGGTTGCACTATTGGCACCTCTCAATGTTTTGGCTGTGACCTAAGGAACAAGTCTTTCTTCGTGCTGAAGTGTACTTGATCCATGTAGAGGAAAAGAGGTGTTTAATATGTGAATATGTATATGAGGGTGTGAACTGGCCCAAAGGAGCAAGTGTACTCCTGCCACCCATCCCCTGCTGCGACACAGGTTGTGAGTGTGCCAGTGACAAACACTTGTTTTAGACAAATCTCTGGGGATGTGATTATAACCAGCCAGGGAACCTATTACAAATTGGGACTTTTGTATTGGTTTTGGCTGATATGCAAGTGATATAAAACAAATGAAACTCATAAATCAGTGGTAAACTAGTGATGTAAAGAGCATTGTTTGACCAGCAGAGGTGTGACAATAAATGTGTTACTAGTTGGTTGTTATGAGTGTTTAACATAGGAGATTGCATCCTGCAAATGAGCTAGTACTGTGTTAAGATCTCGATGACTTCAAGAGAGTGAACATGTACAGAGGTGAATAATGTCCATATTGATAGTGACCCTAATCTAGGGTTTGGTTTTAAGCGATATACAATTGTTGACTTGGTATACGGGAGTGAGTGATAGATTGCCTGGTAGGTGTATGTTGGAATACTGTGTCCTGAGCTTGGTTCTGTGTTGTACAAAACACAATCTCGATAACATTTTCCTTTAAAGAAGTGCTCTTGTTATAGAAGCATTTAAACACTATACCAGAGATTTGGTTGTCAATGAGTGTTGGATAGTAAAGAATTTATTACAAAGTCATGGCTTCCATATTTTCCATTTGCCGTTGTAATTGCCAATAGTTGTGCTCGTCTGAAATTGCTTATTGGCCAGTGGGCATGAAGCTTTAGCCCAAGTCACATACTAAAGCTTTGCTGAAAATGTGCTTGCAAAATTTGAATACCTAATACCTCTAGTTTAGCCAGAGATCCGAAGAGCCAGCCTCAAAAGACATAGTTTCATTTACTGTTAATCAGGTGCGGAAGACAAGGTGAGTGCAACCTTTGGCCAATAGCTTTGGACTACAGCTTTGATCCTTCTATGTGAGCACCAAGGCTTTATTGCTGCATGTTAGTGGTGTGAGGGGAAAAGTACCAAGACAGTAGGTCATCCTGTTGTAAAGGAGAAAATTATTGGCCTTGACTTGTATTGCACACCATATTCTTATTTACTTGGTCTTATTTATGTCTAGAAGTTTATTGGTATTCCAGTATGCATTTACTGAATTAAATCATTGGAGGATGGCAATAGCTCTTCTGTTAAGGTTGTAATCTTATTATCAAGATGAAGGTTGTCATCTTCCATTGAACCACCTAAAATAGCACAAGACTATTCATCACAAGGTCATCAGATTTTGCAGTTCGAAATGTGTAGAAAGTTCATGATAGTTGGAAGTAGTATATTCAGGTTTTATAATGGCAAGACTAATGTCTTAGTCACCCAGTAATCATGGGAGTTAAAAAAGGGAGATTCCTCCTAAGAAAAGTTGTTGCAAATGCTGACACATGTAGGCCTATAACCCTCATCTGTGTTGTCACTACTCAATACTGCCTGTCATTGTCACTTCATTTATGTTTTAAGCATCAAAAATCACATAGGTATAATTTCTTTTTTTTTTTTTTTTTTTTTTTTTTTTTTTTTTTCCTTAATTTTTCTTTTCTTTTCTGGGATAGTAAATCATCTATTACATTATATTTAATAAGTTAATATAATGATAACTTAACAGTTCCTTAGTTTCTTTTGATATCCAGAGTCTAGATAATTTTTGAAGAAGCTACAGAAGGACTTGTTTGTTCATTTTTATGGTAAGTGAAATGGAGCCAGGGTTAGTGACCTTCCTATTTTCAATTGGATGACAAAGCCTAATATGTACACTAAAGGTTAACGATACCCAGGTCCTCGAATGAAAGAAGCAAAGATTTTTCGTTGATATAAAAGAATATATGAAGAAAATCATGTCTTATTGTTTTTATTGTTTGCATTTTTTATTAATTTGCTGAAATGTGTGAGCTCGTTTGGAAACCTTTATTTCAGACATGTAACCTTGGTCTATTTTTATTAGACAAAACATACCATAATTTATGATACGACTTAAAATTAATTTGAATTTGTAAGCGTTGGGCATATAGGCAAAATGTACATAAATGAGCTGAAGGAAAAAATGCACTTCAAACAATGCTAATTAGACATACTATTCAATTCGGTATGAATATAGGAAAAGTGAAGAAAAATGTTTACATCCCTGTAGCTCATACTATATTAAAAGACACGTATACGAGGCTGGGAGTTAAAGCACATTAGTTCACTGAAAATCAAACCTGGATAGAAACTACCGCCTTGGCTCCTTTTGGTGCACCAACCTATTTCAAGTTTCAAGAGTGGAAAGTCCTTCATCTCGGACTCAGGGTGGAATGTCTACCACTAGTACCTGAGATAAATAGCCCCCAAAGTATACATGTATTTGGATATGAAGGTGTGATCATTTGTCACGCCTGTCGTAACCATCACCACGATTTACATATATTCTACTAGACTGGTGTGAGACCATCACAGTTACTCAGGAACTCAGACCGTCAGATGGCAGTGAATGAGACCTCGTCTGGAGGTCGCTGTTGGGGTGCTGTCTGTCTCACTGATTCTAGGGTGCTGATTATATGTTGCAAGGATAATATTTATGCTTGTTTAAACTGTATGTATCATGAGATTATTTCTAATTTACAAGAGGATGTGAAAACACATGAAATATTGGACAATGTCCATGAGCTGGGTGTAATTGTTGATGTGATGCTACGATATGATTCCACTGTAATCTTGGTGAGGTGGTCCCGTGAAGGCTTCCCCCGTCAGCCCCTAAACTGACGGGGGACGTGACTGTACTATAACCATCAACACGATGTAATATTTGCTCTCAAATGATGTTAATAATCCTGATATTCTGTATGCCTTGTTCTTCTTTTTGTTTCAAGTGGTTATATACATAATACTGATGCCATTATGCAAGATGTATGAAATGTGTGTGCGTGTGTGTGCGATCTCAAACCTGTATTTAACTTGACACTACAGATGTATAAAAAAAAAAAAAATACACCAGCTCCTCGAGTGATTCTCTGGACAGACTTTGTGAAGGAGTAAGCCAGGGTATATAAAGTAGTAGTCTGTAAGAACACTTCCAATGCTGTCACTACGCCATCACCACCTTTCTCTCACTCGCTCAACACAAAACAAATTCTTTGTTTCTGTTAAAAATTTAGTTTGAAAATAAATTTCGCATGTGGTTTTCAGTGGAGAACTTTTTACTCAGCCTTTATACAAATGTTACCATTACTTGTATAGAGTGTTATATTAACGTGGCTGTATGTGTGAGCTGTCCATAGATTTACTCTGCAATTTCACGGAAGCCTATGTATTGTACCAAGAAAATATTTGTGAGAAAATAACATCTCCAAACCTTAGAAAAAGGTTGGATGCATGAATTTGTTGTTTCTGGTAAAAGTAACAATCCAACAAGTAGTAGTGTGACTTGTCCTTCATTCTGGAAAATAAATTGTGTTATTCACAAGACCATGCTTTATGTTTAATAAAATTCCAAGTATTTTTAGAATCAAACTACTTGGAATAAGTGTAACATTTTTATTTAGATATACATATCATTCCTCGACTTCAAGCTGTCCTCAGCTGAAGTATTTCTCATTCATCGGCAGAAAAATAATTATAACTAGCCACTTGACAAAGCATTTGATGAACATTGCGATATTCATCACTCCAACATAATTGGTAGTGAAAATTACAGGCATATAAGTAATAACTACGTAATCCATAGTTTCATTATAAAACCAGCTG